AGAAGCGGGAAACTGGTTCAACCTTCCTAACTTTGGTTGGGTGTAACCGGCTTTCCACCAGGGTCCAACAAGTTCAGCACACAAGCCCCGAACTCAACCTTCGCCAACCAAAAGCACTGTACAAACGACGTTTCAGCCCCACCATCATCGCACGAAACAATCGCACAACACCAACCTCAACAAACATGACCCGGTAGCCCACAGAAACCTGTCCCAAAACGCCCGGGATTAGTCCCGCTTTCTAAGAGCTGCTATTATAGACGCGTAGTAAGCGCTATTCGCCACCAAATCGCACTGGAAGTATCTGCAGCTCGATACCACGGACAGGGCTTTGACCATTTACGCCTTTCTCAACCACATTACCGCACGAAGCCCGCGGTTTTCTACTAAGGACGAGAATCAGGTACAATCTAATGTCATCGGGACGACCTCGTACGGCCTTAGCATACACGAATGCGACGGGGGCGCGCCCAATTTCCCTAGGCTTACGTAACCCATAGCTTCACGATTGCATAGACGAATCTCGCAATCGACACGAGGGAGAAACAATCGGGACATTGAGGCTTATTTCACTGCTCGTGCGCATTAGGTAACCCTGCAACTGCACACTCGCGACGACGCACTCGCCGCTGCTCTAGGAGTATCTTTCGCACTCGCCACAACACACTCGCGCAATCACAATCTATGCTGCACCCTCGCGCACTCATTCGCCACGCCACACACTCACCCGTGCACCAAGGCACACATGCCTCTTCTGTTTCGTCACAGTGCAATCGCACCGTGACAATCGCGATTGCCAGCCTCATGGGAATACAGTCAGTCTGCCGCATGCTCACCTACGCCTATCAGCACTGTCATGGGGATAATCTTGCCCATATTATTGGGCAAGCACGCGCATATCCACAGATACTGACATATCATCCGTGACCTAAGCGAGTCGCTGCCAGAGAGAATACTCAATAGGAGTGCCGCAATCCCCCCTTCGGTGCCCTCGCCCCAGCACGTTTCCCTCCGCCGCATCCGCCCCCACGTTTCTGTCCGCCGCATCCGCCCCCCCGTTTCTGTCCGCCGCATCCGCCCGCCCACGTTCTACCCGCCGCATTCGCATAGCGTCTTCCCCCCAGCCTCATGTTTCCAACCACGTCTCACCTACTTCATCCCTTCTCCCTCCACATACGCCCCCCTTGCTCACAAGATATCGGGGATTGCATTAAGGGACCAACAGGGTAACGGTGCACCACTGTGAGCATAGGGTGGTAAACATTCAGGTGAGCTCCGTCACACTGACCCATCCCTCCCCTACTGTACCACTGTACTCTACAACACCAGGTTCATTCTCACATCCCCCTTCTACCCTTGTCATTCTCACATCCCCCTACTTGCATCCCTTGTCACTATCATCATCCATTCCCCCTGCTACCCCTATCATCATCCATTCCCCCTGCTACCCCTATCATCATCCATTCCCCCTGCTACCCCTATCATCATCCATTCCCCCTGCTACCCCTATCATCATCCATTCCCCCTGCGACCCCTATCATCATCCATTCCCCCTGCTACCCCTATCATCATCCATTCCCCTTGCTACCCCTATCATCATCCATCCCCCCTGCTACCCCTATCATCATCCATTCCCCTTGCTACCCCTATCATCATCCATTTCCCCTGCGACCCCTATCATCATCCATTCCCCCTGCTACCCCTATCATCATCCATTCCCCCTGCTACCCCTATCATCATCCATTCCCCCTGCGACCCCTATCATCATCCATCCCCCCTGCTACCCCTATCATCATCCATCCCCCCTGCTACCCCTATCATCATCCATTCCCCCTGCTACCCCTATCGTCATCCATTCCCCCTGCTACCCCTATCATCATCCATTCCCCTTGCTACCCCTATCATCATCCATTCCCCTTGCTACCCCTATCATCATCCATCCCCCCTGCTGCCCCTATCATCATCCATTCCCCCTGCTGCCCCTATCATCATCCATTCCCCCTGCTGCCCCTATCATCATCCATTCCCCTTGCTACCCCTATCATCAACCATTCCCCCTGCTGCCCCTATCATCATCCATTCCCCCTGCTACCCCTATCATCATCCACTCCCCTTGCTACCCCTATCATCATCCATTCCCCTTGCTACCCCTATCATCATCCATCCCCCCTGCTACCCCTATCATCATCCATTCCCCTTGCTACCCCTATCATCATCCATTTCCCCTGCGACCCCTATCATCATCCATTCCCCCTGCTACCCCTATCATCATCCATTCCCCCTGCTACCCCTATCATCATCCATTCCCCCTGCGACCCCTATCATCATCCATCCCCCCTGCTACCCCTATCATCATCCATCCCCCCTGCTACCCCTATCATCATCCATTCCCCCTGCTACCCCTATCGTCATCCATTCCCCCTGCTACCCCTATCATCATCCATTCCCCTTGCTACCCCTATCATCATCCATTCCCCTTGCTACCCCTATCATCATCCATCCCCCCTGCTGCCCCTATCATCATCCATTCCCCCTGCTGCCCCTATCATCATCCATTCCCCCTGCTGCCCCTATCATCATCCATTCCCCTTGCTACCCCTATCATCAACCATTCCCCCTGCTGCCCCTATCATCATCCATTCCCCCTGCTACCCCTATCATCATCCACTCCCCTTGCTACCCCTATCATCATCCATTCCCCCTGCGACCCCTATCATCATCCATTCCCCCTGCTACCCCTATCATCATCCATTCCCCCTGCGACCCCTATCATCATCCATCCCCCCTGCTACCCCTATCATCATCCATTCCCCCTGCTGCCCCTATCATCATCCATCCCCCCTCTGCCCCTATCATCATCCATTCCCCCTGCGACCCCTATCATCATCCATTCCCCCTGCTAACCCTATCATCATCCATTCCCCTTGCTACCCCTATCATCATCCATCCCCCCTGCTACCCCTATCATCATCCATTCCCCCTGCTACCCCTATCATCATCCATTCCCCCTGCTGCCCCTATCATCATCCATTCCCCCTGCTGCCCCTATCATCATCCATTCCCCCTGCGACCCCTATCATCATCCATTCCCCTTGCTAACCCTATCATCATCCATTCCCTCTGCTGCCCCACCCATCATTCATTCCCCCTGCTACCCCTATCATTATCCATTCCCCCTGCTGCCCCTATCATCATCCATTCCCCCTGCTGCCCCTATCATCATCCATTCCCCCTGCTACCCCTATCATCATCCATTCTCCCACCCCCCTTGCCCCTCCTATCATTCCCCCTTCCCCCTGCTAAACTTGGAGTTCTCCCATCCCCGCTTCTACCCCTGTCATCCACCTCACCCTGTGCTACCCTTGTCGTTCCCCCTGTATCTTGCACCCCTACCCTAGGTCAGGATACCTTCCCCTACTGCTACCCTAGTGATTCCCCCTTACCCCTTGCTATGCTTGTCATTCTCTCTGGATCTTGTTACCCTACCCTGTGTCATTCTACACTCACCGTTGCTGCCTTTGTCATTCCCCCCTGTAGCTTGCTACCCTTTGTTTTTCAACCATCCCCCCTGCTACCCGTGTCATTCCCCCTTCTCCCTGCTACACTTGTCCTCTCACCCCCCCTTGCTACCCCGGGCTTTCTCCCTTCTGCCTGCAACCCTTGTCATTCTCCCACACCCCTTGCTACCCTTGGCATTCTCCCTTACCCCTTGCTACCCTTGGCATTCTCCCTTACCCCTTGCTACCCTTGGCATTCTCCCTTACCCCTTGCTACCCTTGGCATTCTCCCTTACCCCTTGCTAACCTTGGCATTCTCCCTTACCCCTTGCTACCCTTGGCATTCTCCTTTACCCCTTGCTACCCTACCTCTTGTCACTATACCATCCCCTTTGCTACCCTTGTCATTATCCACCCCCCCTTGCTACCCCTGTCATCCACATTTCCCCCTCATACATTTTCCCACCCCCCTTGTCCCCCCTATCATTCCCCTGCTAAACTTGTAGTTCTCCCATCACCGCTTCTACCCCTGTCATCCACCTCACCCCGTGCTACCCTTGTCGTTCACCCTGGATCTTGCACCCCTACCCTAAGTCAGGATACCTTCCCCTCCTGCTACCCTAGTGATTCCCCCTTTCCCCTTGCTACCCTGCTCATTCCCCCTGGAGCTTGCTACCGAATGTCAAACTTCCATCCCCCCTGCTACCCCTGTCATTCCCCCTTCTCCCTGCAACACTTGTCATTCTACCATCCTCTTTGCTACCCTAGTCATTCTACCCTTCCCCCTCTTACCCCTATCATTCTCAAATCCCCCTCCCCCCTTGATGCCCTTGTCATTCTCCCTTGAGCTTGCTACCCCTGGTCATTCTACCATCCCCTTTGCTACCCTAGTCATTCCCCCTCTCCCCTTGCCGCCCTTGTCATTCCACCATCCCTTTGCATCCCTCTGTCATTCTGCCATCCCTTTGCATCCCTCGGTCATTCTGCCATCCCTTTGCATCCCTCGGTCATTCTGCCATCCCTTTGCATCCCTCTGTCATTCTGCCATCCCTTTGCATCCCTCGGTCATTCTGCCATCCCTTTGCATCCCTCGGTCATTCTGCCATCCCTTTGCATCCCTCGGTCATTCTGCCATCCCTTTGCATCCCTCGGTCATTCTGCCATCCCTTTGCATCCCTCGGTCATTCTGCCATCCCTTTGTATCCCTCTGTCATTCTGCCATCACCTTTGCATCCCATTGTCCACCTACCATCCCCTTGGCTACCCTAGTCATTCCATGCTATCCATCTCATGCCCCCTCCCCCATACTACCCTGGTCATTCTACCTTCCCCTTCGCTACCCTTGTGATTCCCCCTTCCCCCCTGCTACCCTTGTGCTGCAACCTTCTCCCTGCTGCCCTTGTCGTTCTCCGTGCAGCCTTGCTACCCTAGTCATGCTCCTAACCCCCATGCCACCCATGTCATCCCCCATTCCCACTGCTACCCTTTGCTTGCGTCTAATAGCCCTCAATGGCGCCGCGTGCTGGCCCTGCTCTCGATCCACGTGAGCCAATGGGCCAGGCAGTAGGGGAAATCGCTCGTACGCACATGACGCCACAGCTACCGATCTCAAGGCATCTCCAAGAGCCAATAGCCCTTTTGCGTAGTGGTGCAACCCTACTCTTTGATGGGAAGCGGACCGCAACGTGTGGTGACTTGATGTACTTGTACACGCTGGCCGCCCCACGTCTCACCAAACGACTTATGGCGATTGCGGCCAATGTGGGTATGTTGGTAGTTTGCACACATCCTTGTAAATCAGCACATCGCTGCGCGTGGGAGTCAACAAGAGCTGAAGCATGATCCCCCCTATACTCACCAATGTCTAGCCCATATGTTGCTTTACCTTTCATCCAGGTACCGATGGGACTAAGGCACTAGCGATTGCGCGAAGGCGCCTCCGAGCGCATGGCCAGGAGCTACAGTTTGGTGGTGACAATCCGGTGGGAAGGGCCGGCGAGCTCCTATCTCGAGAACCGCGTGCAATCGACCGCGTAACCTATAAATTCAAGGACTGCAAGTTCAGCGAAGAGGGGAATCTGCAAACCACGAAAGGGTTTAATCACGGCGGTGCACATCGTGGACCGGCATACGAACGTCTGAAAAGTGGCGGTGAGTACCATGGGCAGAATGATCCGGGTTGGAGGTAATGGTCAATTGAGGGTGGCGAGGGGTGAGACTCATGTATCGCTACCCTTGTATTTTGCCCCCAGGAGACTCGATCGAGGAGGATCAATCCGCGGTGGCCGAGCAGGTCACTGAAGATGCGGAGGATGTGGTGCTCGAGCTGGAAGAGGACATGCTGCCCCTTCCTGAGACAGATGTAGTCGTCGTGCCGACTCCCGCCCCTGCTGTTGAGGAAGACCCTGAGAGCCCGAATTTGCGGGCGCCTTCGCTACCATGCGGTGTGGTAGCTGAGGCTACAAATGTCGATCTGGCATGCTCCCTGCCAGCTTCGGTGTTGAGTGGAGAGGTGGGAACACGAGGGGAGGACGAAGGGGCTGGGAGTGAGACGGTGGGTATTCCTGAGGATCAGGATGGAGAGGCCCCGGAGGCTCACCGGGAGTTGGAGCGGCCTTCGCCCGCGTCGCCGATCGAGACCCAGCCTATCAGGTACGTTTGTGTTTATCCAGTAGGTCCTCCACCCACTTCTACACTTGTGAATTGTACCGCAACTTGATGCCGCCCCTTGGTTGCACTCTGAAATCACCCCACCTCCAATGGTGTTTGATGCTGCCATGCGTTTGTATCAGGGCTCTGGTTAGGTTTTGAACCGCTCTTCCACGTAAGGTCTGTTGATTGTGTAGGTGGTTGTAGTATTTTGCTCTAGCTGGTTGTGGGCTAAGGGTTTGGGCAAAATGTGGTGGTTAGACTTATTGCAGGCTGGAATTGATCTCGCACCCAACGAGCTCCAACAAACCTTTGCTATTCACTACAACACCTTTGGTGTTGCTAGTTTGGCATTTTGGGTTGTTGGGGATTGTTGTAGGGCGAGGGTTGGGTTGGTAGGGTTTGACAAACTCGTCACTTTTCAGATCTGAACTCTTGCTTAAGCCATTCCTAGATCTAATCCATGGCTTCCAAGTAATTCCGCCAGGATACCCCGTCGCACTTAAATCGCGATAGCGATCGGCCTAGATCTTGGTTGAAGGTGTGCTTTATCATTCTGGAACGTAGAGATTAAGACCTTTCCAACGCGTACCTGCTCATATTTTAAGGTTACGTGAGCTGCACGCAATGGTTTGCCGAAGTCGGCAGACTTAATCTCTTGTTATGCTCTCCAGATTCGCGCGCTTTCCATCAAGGCCAACACCCCGCTTTCACTTTTTCAGTAAGGGTAGATCACAAAAACTACTTTTTCTAGGAAGGGTGCAAACATAAGTAAGTTTTTCAACAGAAAAATTAATTTCCGAAATTGACCAGCTGTTGGTGTTGTAGTCAGTTGTGGTGAGGAATTCTCTGCGAAGCACCTGGTATGGAGATCCGACGTGAGCAGCTTTAAAGGGGAGTCCATTTCACTCGAATGATTTTGCTATACTCCGTTAGATCTAACTCGATATCATCAGTGTTACTACACCACCTAACTCTGAAATATCTGTGTAGTATAACCGAACACTTTTTCTTGTAAGGGTAAAAGAAACGACCACTCTGATAAAAAATGGTGCATATTCAAACCCAGCCTTATAGTAGGGGTGAATCACCCTGTTAACCAGAGGCCTGGTTTGTATCCTAATGCAGAGAGGATGCAGAGCAACCATGCACGTGCACTGATCCCCCACCTGGCTGGCCTGTCTCACCGAGTCTTGCAGAGTTTGCAGGAAACGTGGTATGTCTACTTGATCCTCTCTTGCTCGTGCGATTTGTCATGACACTGTGTATTGGGTGCACAGTTGTATCAGGCTGCAATGGTCGGATGAGGTTACAGTCGTGGTGGCGACTGTGGACCTGTTTTGGCTTGGCGTGGAGATGCACAAAATGTGGTGGAACACTTGAGTTTTGGTCCTCTGATCGGCGTTGTCAGGATGGCAGTGAGGGGAAACGAGGCCCTCGGAACACCTCCTTTTGCATCAAGATACATGGGTGCGTTTGCGCTCGCGGGTTTGGGGTATCAGGCGTTGTGGGAGGCCAGTTGTACCATTGGGCTATGGATACCTTCGAAAAAGAGCTTTTATCGATACATGAAAGGGGATAAGGGGTTGTGGTGTACTCTTCAAGAAGCGGCGTCAAAGTCTATGGAGGCAGTATGAGCAGAAATGGGAAAGAGGCTGATTCCAGGAGAGTGGATTTGTGTGGATGGTCGTTGGGACAAGGCTAGCGAGGGGCAATGGTGTACCGTGTCGTTTATGGATCGGATTACTCGAAAGGTGATGCATTGTGTGACCGTTTCAAAAAACGTGGTTGGTGGGTCGTCGACTGGTCTAGAGAAGATTGCGTTCGAACGTGGATTAGAACAGCTTAGGCAGATTGGGTTTGTTGTCAAGGGCATAATATCCGATGAGGGGGGGTCATTCAAGGCAGCAATTGTTGGTGAGGAGATCAACCATCAAATGGATGTCTGGCACAAAGGTCGAAACTTGACTAGACGATTTCATCACGACTTCATTGATGCTAAGAAGGGGGCGCTCCGCGTCCCCGAATGCACGAGTGTGGAGGATGTTTGGCATGTATCACCAGAGCATCTATGGAGCTGGCCGCAAGAGCATGGGTACAAGGGCCGGCTCTCCCAGGGCTCGACCAGAGAGTCACTTGTCAAGGCCGTGTGAGACAAGTTGAGAAAATACAAGTATAAAAAGATGAGAGCCACAACTGCCCAATGGAAGTGGCCGCTCATGCGACAAGTGCTTCGCTTGCGTCGGAAGGGGCTAGCTGGTGCAGAGGGAAGTGGGAAGGAGAATGAGGGAGGTGGGCAGGATGACGAAGGACGCGCTATGAAAAGGCAACGGCGTGAGGGGGAATCCGGGTCTCCCTCCCCCTTGGTTGATATTCTCGTCCAGCCTAGTGGAGAGGGTGGGCGTGATCATGTCGGTGGGCAGCCATCATCGACACCGACATCGGGGAGGGTTGGAGTAGAGGTGCTATGCGAGGGCGGTAGTACAAATGGGGAGGGGATGGTCGGAGACGGAGGGACAGCTGGAGAGGGAGTTGGAGTGCGGGTGGAGCGCAGAGACATGGAGGACTTGAGGTGGGGGGATGTCAGCGAGCTGTGGGGTTATGATCCGCATCCTGAGCGTGGGGTCCGCCCGTGCTCAGAGGCGTCGTTCCTCCTCATCCAGGCTTCGGTGTCAGGCAGGGTTCACACACCAGATGAGGAGGCTGACTTGGAGCACGAGACCGAGACGACTGAGGCTACTACATCAGGTACGATGGTTGCCAAAGGGGTGGTTGTTTGGCTAAGGGGTGGTTGTCAAATCTTGTTATGTTCTTCCTTACAATGATCATTGGCAGATGTAAAGTTGCCCCCTTGTTGTGCCCCTCTCGTATGCTGGCTTTTTCCGTGACAGGTGCACGTGCCGCACAAGGGGTGGAGACTCAAGAAACTGTCGCGTACGAAGATGATGCAACCGAACCCGAGTCGCCTCCTCGTCGTTGGCAAGAGAGGGGATCCAAGAAGAGGCGGCGGGGGGAGTTGGACGGGGTTGGTAACGACGATTTGGCCATGGATGATCTCGTCGAGGAGGTGTCTGTTGCGCAGCGCTTTAGTGTGCACTTCCACCATGTCATGGTGCGATGTGCAACACTGGCACAAATGAACACCCCCATGTCTGCCGAAGATGTGGCCGCCGAGCTCATGTTGGCTGCTGATCATTGGGCTGGTCTACATACTGGGTGTGCTAGAGGTGACGTCCCTCCCCGCTGCGTGAGGGATCAATGGGGGCCTGAGAGTGCCGTATACCCGCCGGGCTCTGAGACCCACACGGCAGTGAAGAAGTGGCTGGCCACTCACTGTAGCGCCGACGAGATGCGGCCCTATGTCACCGGGGCTGGAAGCTGGCTGAACGAGTCATTCCACTCTCTCATCTGCACACCCGCTTGTTACACCTGAGTCGGAGGCACCCGAATCTGTTCCGGAGCATGACAGTGCAGGCATTTTTTCCACCCCGCCCCCAGCCACAATCTTCAGTCCCGGCCGGGTTTCAACCAACAGCACCACATCATGGTCTAGGCGGCGTCACCGCACCGTCCGTGGCCCGCGCCCTTCCCGAGCACGTTGCCGCCTCACGTGTAAGTCTTGCGAGAGCGTTTCTTTGCCTATCGTTTTGCCTCTGTAGGTTCAGTATAGCTTACACGTATTTGACAAACGTACATTTTTTCTTTTTCTTTTTTTGTCTTTGTTGGTTTCTATGCACAGTTGAGCCCTTGCCGCGGTGATCAAGTCCATGCGCCCTCGTTTAAACCACTAAAGCGTGCGCGCAAGATGCCACAGAGGTGAGAAATATTCAATCCATTTCTTTGTTTGGGTGCAATTCCAACCCTAGGCCTCTCTTTGTTTGGGATAGGAAGCAGGCAGTGGGGGACTGGACGCGGGGGAGAGGGGGATGGGGCGGGTGGGTGTCGGGGAAGGAAATGGGAGCGGAAGACAGGGTAATGGCAGGGGTGACGGGAAGGGTTTGGAAGCGTGCGCGGAAACAAAGTGAGCTGCGGGGAAGAGAATCAGCAAGGGAGACAGAGTGAGCCGGAGAGATCAAGGTGTGTGAGGGTGATACTGCTGCTTGTAACCACTTTTGCCCGCAGGCCCTGTGTGTGCGCGTGGAGGGGGAGTAGGGTGCAGTGGAGAGTGGTGAGGAGCTGGCATACCGTGTGGGGACGGGAGTGGGCGAGGTGTAACACAAGGGCGTCAGAGACAGCAGCAGTGGAGAGGGAGAGGTGTGTGAGGGATACTGCTGCTTGTTACCACAGCTAGCCGCAGGGTGGGGTGTGAGGGCGTGGAGGAGGAGTGGAGTGCGGTGGAGGCTGGTGCGGTGCGGAGGAGGAGGTAGTGTGGCGCAGCGCGAGTGGGAGAGGTCGTGGTGAGTGAGGGACGCGAAGATGTGAGGAGGGAAGAGGGAGGAGGGAGGAGCGATTGAAGCCCCAGAGAGAACGATATGAGCGAGGGGGGAGGAAGAGGAGGAGTGGGAGGAGGAAGGAGATGAGGCGGAGGGAGACGATGAGGAGGAGGGGAGAGGGAAGCCAATGGTAAGGAGGGCAGTGGGAGAGGTGCAGGGAGGTGGGGGAGGGGTGGACGGGTGGTGGGAGAGGGCAGTCCAGGCGAGGTTGGCGGAGAGCAGGCAGGGAAAGGCGAGGGCAGCGAGGCAGAGGCGCCGGTGATGCTGCTGCCCCACACTCACCGATGGCGCAAGTGCACCAGCGACTGCAGGAGAAGGGGGGGAGGCGGGGGTGGAAAGGGGATGGTGGGAGTGGGGAAAAGGGGAGCATTGGTGGAGGACGCGTTGGTGCAAGTACACCAACAATTTGAGGAAGAGTGGGTGGGGGATTGGGGGGGGGAGGGGGAAGAGAATGAGCAGGGGAGACAGACAAAGTGAGACAGGGGGAAGAGAAGGAGCTGGGGAAACAGGGTGAGACAGGGAAGAGAGGGCGACGGAAGAATGAGCAGGGTGATGGGAGGGGGGAGTGAAGGAGACGGGAGGGGGTAGAGTAGAGCGACGGGAGGGAAAAGGGAAGAGCGACGGGAGGGGAAAGTGAGGGCGACAGGAGGGGGAAATGTAGGCGACGGGAAGGGAGGGTGAAGGCAATGGGAGGGGGTAGTGAAGAGCAACGGGAGGGGGAAGTGAAGGGAGGTAAAGAGCGGGGCATCAGCGAAGTGTGGCAGTTGACGCTGGTCTGGTGCAGGTTGCGGGGACGACGGGAGTCAGTGGGATGGTGGGTAAGAGTGGGGGAAGAGGAGGGGGTGAGTGGGGGAAAGGGAGGAGTAACGTAGGGCAGAGGGAGGGTTGGTGTGAGGGAAATGGAGGATTAGGGTGAGGGAAATAGAGGGGTGGTGCGGGGGAAGGGAGGATTAGCGTGGGGCCTACGGAGGATTAGCGTGAGGGAAATGGAGGGGTGGTGCGGGGGAAGGTAGGATTAGCGTGGGGGAAACGGAGGATACGCGTGAGGGAAATAGAGGGGTGGCGCGGGGGAAGGGAGGATTAGCGTGGGAGGATTATGAGGGGGAAAAGGGCGAGGGAGAGTGGGGGCGAGGACGGGGGGGAGTGGGGGAAAGGACGGGGGGGAGTGGGGGAAAGGCTGGGGGGGGGGAGTGGGGGAAGAGGGGGTGGGGGATTGGGGGGGAGAGGGGGAAGAGAGACGACGGGAGGGGAAGTGAAGGCGATGGGAGGGGGGAGTGAAGGCGACGGGAGTAGGGAGTGAAGGCGATGAGAGTAGGGAGTGAAGGCGACGGGAGTAGGGAGTGAAGGCGACGGGAGGGGGAAATGGAGGCGACGGGAGGGGGAAGTGACGGTACTTGCAGGGGAGGGACTGGCGCGGCTAGGAAAGTACCCTAAGGGAAGTTTTAGCAAGGGGAGGGTAGGGATCGGATTGGGAAGGGAAGGGAAGGGCGATGAATCAAGGCTGAGTGACGGGAAGGGAAGGAAAGAGGAGGTGTACGACGGACAGCTGACACCGGTGGTGTGATGGGATCATGGTACATTGGCGTGAGGGAAGCTTTGAGAATCAGCGTGAGCCTAAAGTACATGCTGCTGCCGATTCTTGTGAATCGCGGCGAGAGGGTAGGGCCGCACTAGCGCTTGGACTCCACCTTTTTACTGCATGGTGGGAAATGTTAATTTGTGGCGTAACGTCCTCGTGGCTCGAGCAAACGCAACCCGCGGGATCAGAGGAAGGAATCGCACTTACGGGCGTTTTCGAAGCGTGCTGTGTGTCACTTCTAATTCCCAGCGATAGCTAATGATGCCTTAGCGCCACTTTGTATACGCTATCACTATCGCCCGCCGTCTGCTTTGACGAGGTGGCTTTGCGTATGCGCTAAGCTGAATTTCCTAGCTACTTGTAGTCGGAGCAGTTTCCTATACTACAATGCAGTGACGTGGTGTTGGGAAGTGGGGTTGTGTGTGAGACAGGTTGTTGTTGGGTGTCGGTTTAGGCTCTCTGCGACTGATGTGTGTGTGAAGTGCATGTCGCAGGTCAATCCTGATAACATTGGCGAACCTGGGCAAGTACACGAACATCCTCTAACAGTCTCGACACTACCAAATTTCGTGGGCCAATCACGTTTTCAGTCCCAACCAACCTTCCTAAGGTTGAAGTTCTTGGCCCGCGGGTTTTAACAGCCAGTGCTATACCAGAGGAACTATACCACTATTGTGGTATGCAGAACGGAAGGCCCACTGCTACTATTGAAAGCGATGGGGCCATATACCGGTTTTTTTTTTTTTTTTTTTTTTTTTTTGTTTTTTTGTTTTTGTTTTTGTCTCTCCAATGTTCTAGCTCGTCGCTTTAGCATCGCTTACCATTCGCTTAGCCGCCAAGTTATTTTTTTCTCGCTTGTCCGCCAGCTCTAGTGTCGCATGCAGTTCGCTTAGCCGCCGCCTCGTACTGCCGGCCGTTACGTTTCGCCCTCGTTTGGTCGCGCTGGATCCCCCGTCTTGCGTGTGCGCCCTTCCCTCCTCGTTGACCCACCCGCGTCTCTAGCAGCGAACTCGACTGGTCGTCCATCAACGCGCTTATTGACCCTCGCCTCATCTCTTTCCTGCTTGTCCACGCTCCTTCCTCTCATCGATGCTCTTCCCTCGCCGCTCCCTTTCATCTCGGTGGCACGACTGTTCGCACCCAGTCGCTCTCTCTTCCTTCCTATTCGATTGCCCAGCTTCTATCTTCTCACCTTTTGTCTCTCATTCTTATGCTCCTCCACTTTCCAGGCGCGAAAAGAAGTCCGAAAGGAATAAATAAGGACATGCGCAAGGCTTATTGTGAGAGTACGTCGGCTTATGTTGGCTTTGCTAGCTTGCCTGGACTTTATTATGTTATTACTAGCTTAGCTTTATTTTATCTTGCATGCTTTTGCTTGATTTCCTAGATTCGTTGCCTTTACTATAGTTATTATAGTTGTAGGCACCGAACTAGGTTGAGTGCACCGAATTCTAGGCTTTTCGGTTGCCACCGAATTGCCTTCTACCGAATTCGGGAAGGACCCGTTCGGGACGCTTCGCGACCCGCGGAACCTTCTAGTCACACCCGGGTTACTGCCTTTGTGTCGAGCCTATATATAGCCTTGCCTTGTACCCAGGTGAATCATTCAATAGAATCATCTTTCCTGAACCAGATCCTCACACTTGGTAATCAGAGCGGGTTTACACGCGAGGTCTTCAACCGCGTAGTTCCGGCCTTTAAAAACCGCGGGGGCGACGACGAAGGCGCCGATACGGATATGTAAAACCAGTTCCGCGCAATTTTTCTAAGTCCCCCTCGATTCGGTTTTCGAACACCCCTCAGATTTTCTGGTGGAAAGGTTGGAGTTTCGACCGTTTGATGTTTTATCTCAACGGCCCAGAGAATTTCGCCCCAAAAAGTTGGAATTTGGAGCGTCGGATTGACTTTCTTCTCAACGGCCGAGATCGAACGCGAATTTCATCTATGGGAGATTTACGCGACTTTCAGAATTTGCGCTCGTCGAGTTTACAGGCAACTCGACTCGCAGTAAGTCGACCAGCACCCAAAATTCAATTATTTTCGTCGCGCTTCTTTCTGTAAATCGCCAAATGGAGGGAAAAAGAGATATTTCAGTACAGAAAATCGCGGAGTTACGTGCCGAGCATAAGCAGATACGTGCGGCGCTCCCACGACTCGAGAAACTCCTTGCAAACCAGTCGGCAACCGCCATAGCAGCAGCGAATGCAGCAGCAACAGCAGCAGCAACAGCAGCAGCAGCAGCGGCGACACCGACAATTCTACCTGCGACAACGGCAGCAGCTACAGTTAACCTCGAAGCAGTGAAGCTGAGGCTACCGGAGGCGTTCGATCCTATAGTTAAAGGGAACGACGTTCGTCGATTTGTAGCTGAACTCGAAATTTACTTCGAAGCCGTTGGATGCACGACCCCGACAGAAGACGCAATGCGCATACGGCTCGCAGCAACACTGTTACAAGGCCCAGCTCTAGAGTGGATCAACAACAGTATAGTCCAAGGCGAAGGGACGTGGGCGCAGTTTCGGGCAGCACTGATCGAACAGTTCGACACGTTGAACAGTAGCTACTACGGAACACGACGCAACAAGCCAACTAGTGGCATGGGGCGATTGGCACCACCCACGACTGCTGAACCGATGGAGAACGACGAGGGCGATGTGGAGCAGCGGCTAGCAAAAACTGAGACGTACAAATTTTGCGGCGCTACAGGACATCGTATCTTGGCGTGTTGGGAAATGAAGGGAAGGCGTGCGGAGCTGAGATACAAGAACAGTGCGGCACCCCCGAAGCAGAAAACGGACAACGTGGCAACTTCGGAGAGGGCGAAAAAAGGAGAATATGATGGCGCGAGTTTAAAACGTCACGACTAGTCGGCACCAGGGGAAATCGCCGAGACAAATGGAGACTCCGCGAAACAAGACCCTGCACCGACTGGGAAACTCCAGCCGTACACCCCGACAAGTAAGAATATTACTTCTCGTGGGTTTCAAGCCTTTATTAAGGGAGAGTCAGAAATTAAACCGGTACCGGGTAATATGGGGACCCTACTCCGGAGCGCTAACAAGGGTCGAGCGTTCCGAGGAGTTAATATTCTCTCCCAGCAGCTCTGTTTAAAGGCTCTCTCTTCCCCACAGATGAAGCCTACACAGCTGCAAAGGCCTAGGGGAAGGTTCCAGGCTCAAGAGAAGCTGTACCAGCCTCGTGTCAGAATGTTATTCTCTAGCCTGTAGTGGGGTGCTCTATAGCGAGTACAACCCATCTAGGGTTTGCTATATGTATCCTCATTGCTGCTAGTGAACCTCCTCTTTGCCTAAACTTTCTCTTGCCTAGCTAGGGTTCTCCTAGCTATGGCTCCTGCTTATGCTTACTCTTTTGACATGGTAACAGAGCGTTCACGCTCCTGGCCTGTGGGCCCCACTGCTGCTTCCGCTGCCCTACTCAGTGTCGCGCGCCCCGTGGCGCGCGACCTTCACATTTTCATCCCGCCGCGCGCTCGGGGCGTGCGGCGGTTTTCTCCCCGCCGTGCGCACCGAGGCGCACGGCGGTTTCCTACCGTGGGGGACGCCCGCGGCCCCCCGATCCCGTCGCCCGCGGCCCTCCGGTCCCGTCGCCCGCGGCCCCGCGATCCCGTCGCCCTGGGGAGCCGCACGCGACCCCCCGCGGCCCCGTTTTCCCGTCGTGCCGCCCTGGGGAGCCGCGCGCGACCCCCCGCGGCCCCGATTTCCCGTCGTGCCGCCCTGGGGAGCCGCGCGCGACCCCCCGCGGCCCCGATTTCCCGTCGTGCCGCCCTGGGGAGCCGCGCGCGACCCCCCGCGGCCCCGATTTCCCGTCGTGCCGCCCTGGGGAGCCGCGCGCGACCCCCCCGCGGCCCCGATTTCCCGTCGCGCCGCCCTGGGGAGCCGCGCGCGGCCCCTCTCTGCCCCGTGGTCGCGTTCTGGGGGCCGAGCGCCGTCCCCCTCGCCGTCCCCCGCGCTCCTTCCCCCGTTCCGCCCGTTTTTAGGGTTTTGGGGTGCGGAGTGTGGGGGTGGCAGCTCTGGGGGTGCCGTGTGTGTGCGCCGTCCCCTGCTCCTCCTCCTCCTCCGTCTCCCACTGCTGCAGCTGCCGCTGAGGGGGGTGGATGTGTGGGAGCCGAGGTTTAGGGTTTAAGGGGGGTGCCGTGGAAGTGGAGCTAGGGTGTCAGCAGGGGGTGTGTGAGAGGGGCGTGGGACGGTCGGGGGAGGTTGAGCGGAGGCTGCCGTCTTGTCGTCAGCAGCACCTGTAGTCCGGGGCGCTGTTCCGGTAGCCCAGTCGTAGCCAGCTGCGCCAGTCGCCCGTGGGTCCGTTGCTCGTCTGCCGCTCTTCTTAGCCGCGGAGCCAGTTACTCCTGTAGTCCGGGGCGCTGTTCCGGTAGCCACTGTGCCAGTTTGACTCCTGTTGCCCGTGTGTCTGCAGCTTCAGCCGTCGCCTCTCATCTTCTCTCCTTCCACAGTTCCTCCTCCTCCTCACTTGCCCTTTGTGAATGCCTCTAGCTTTGCTTGCACTTGTGAACCTGCTTTCTACCTGCTTGCTCATTGTACTGATTACACCCCACTTTGGCTATGGGGGTGTGTCAGAATGTTATTCTCTAGCCTGTAGTGGGGTGCTCTATAGCGAGTACAACCCATCTAGGGTTTGCTATATGTATCCTCATTGCTGCTAGTGAACCTCCTCTTTGCCTAAACTTTCTCTTGCCTAGCTAGGGTTCTCCTAGCTATGGCTCCTGCTTATGCTTACTCTTTTGACACCTCGGACAAATCCTTCTCACCCTACTCAGGTAATACCTGATATTGAAGCTGCATCTTCGAGCGCAGGACCTAGGGATGACATATTCGACGTACCCTACGATCCTATAAGCGATACCATCTACGGCTACTCGGAGCAGCAACAGCCACTAGTACTCGAGGTGATCTGCAACGGGCGACGCCTCCAGACACTGGTGGACAGTGGTGCGTCCCACTCGGTGTGCGACCGCGGGACGTTGGAGAAAATTGAAGAATCCTCAGAAGAGACCCAGTTTACAGCAACGATGGTGGACGGTACGAAGCTTTCCATCCACGGCGAGTCAACACTGCAGCTGCAGATAGGAGCGTTAAGGTTGAAGCCGACGTTGCCGATCACGAACATCAAGGGATTAGATTTCATCTTGGGGCGTGATTTTCTGAAGCGGTTCAACCCCGAGATCGACTGGGTCAACTGGAAGGCGTGTATCTACAACGACGGGAAACGTGTGAAGCTGCAAAGGTGGACGGATACAGGGGATACTCCTCATCAGCAAGCCATGGAGCAGCTACAGACAGCACTGACTACAACGCCATTACTCATCCTAC